TTTTTTTTTTTTTTTTTTTTTTTTTGGAAAGGGGTCCTTGGTCTGAAAAAGTTTGAGTAACACTGATCTATAGGGATTAATACGGAACACAACGCCAGAGACGTGTAAGCTTTAGAGCACGATTCTGTAAGAAAAGCATCTCCACGACACTGCTTTGTCTGTTAATAAGCATGTGCTCTTGTGGGTATTTCTCCCAGGCCAAGTCGCAGGATGTGATGTTGGTCTCAAACAAATACAGGCAGCTATATGAATGTCACCTGCCTGCTCAAGCCATTCGGTTCCACCAAGACCCAGCAGCAGAGCCGGACCCCCAGGGATACATTGGACCTGGGATTCCTGAGCTTCTCAGGCCTATGTCTAGTGCACCATGCCTCGTCAAGGTGAGGACTGTCTGATCTCAGCGCTCATGTGCACGTTGGGATTAGACTGCCAATCCTTCAATAGTTTTGTGACAAATCTGCTTATACGAGAATTCTGTGTGAACATTTTTTGGACATTTTTATGGTGGGAATTTGAAGTTTGATTTTGACTCCTTCCATCACAGTCTCTAACCACTTGTATCAGAGCCTCATTCATATTGTGCCTTACTGAACTGCTTCTGACCTGTCTCTTCCGCAGACAAAAGACTGGTGGACATATGAGTTTTGCTATGGCCAGTACATCCGACAGTACCACTTAGAGGGTTTGTGTCTCCCTGCCCAAACATCTCTGCAGTGAAGTGCTGTCAGCAGCACAGCCTGCATTTCATACTTTCTCCAATTTGCTTCATTTGCACAGATTCAGAGATCAAGGGCGACATGCTCTTCTTGGGGTATTACGAGTCTGAATTCGACTGGAATAATGAAACTGCCAAGGTATGAATTTTCTTCAATCCTCTTACTTAATCTTTTTGTTTAAACCTGAGGGTAATGTATTTCACGCGTAAAACTGAGTCAGTTTCTGTGTTTTGTTGTGTGTGAGGTTTTTATATTATGGAATACATTTTAAAGTATTAAAATAGCACTGCTATCCTCCTATTATTTTTCCATTTATCAGTTTTCTACATGTGACATTTATATGCTTTTCTGTTTATGTTCTGTAAATTGCACAAAAGTGTCACTGATGCAGTGTTTTTGTGAGCAGAGAGGTTCGGACTCTGTTCTTTTGAACATACCTACAGGCAGCATTGCAGGAGTAGCTGCTTCGACTGGCTACTGTCAGTTATTTCTGGTGCATTGCTGGGTTTACGGTGTGCTGCTCAGTAAAATTTATTTCTTATTCTCATACATGTATGAACTGTATTTTATAGAGTGGTTTTCCTTTAATTAAAACTTTAGAAACCTTGAGAAAGAGTCTTCCTGATGTGTTTTGCTTTTTTTTGTCTACCGTGCCCATTTCTTAAGGGCCTGCTGCTTGTTTGCTCATTAAATGAGCGGAAACTTAAACCGCTTGTGGCAGATCGACTGAAATCTGGCTGCTGGGACATTGTGAGGCCCTGAGTATGATGTGTAGGAGGATGTCCTGTGAACAGGGCAACTGACGTACAGTCAGAACCATGAATATCTGAACACTGACACAAGTTTTACTATTTTACCTGTTTACTGAAATATATTCCAGCTGAAGTTATACAATGGACATGGACAGGAAAAAAACAATTTGAGAAATTGCCACAACGTTAGGAGTGGCAAAATCCATAGTTTGGTACATCCAAAGAAATAAAGAAAGAGAGAAAGAAAGCAAGCAAGCAACCATTGGTGAACTCAGCAATGCAAAAAGGCCTGGACGTCCACGGACGACAACAGTGGTGGATGATCGCAGAATCATTTCCGTGGTGAAGAGAAACCCCTTCGTAACAGCCAACCAAGGGAAGAACACCCTCCAGGAGGTAGGCGTGTCAATATCCAAGTCTACCATAAAGAGAAGACTGCATGAATGCAAATACAGAGGGTTCACTGCAAGATGCAAGCCACTCATAAGCCTTAAGAATAGAAAGGCTAGATTGGACTTTGCAAAAAAAAAAAGAAACATAAAAAAAAAGCCAGCACAGTTCTGGAACAGCATTCTTTGGACAGATGAAACCAAGATCAACCTGTATCAGAATGATGGAAAGAAAAAAGAAGGGCTGGAACAGCTTATGATCCAAAGGACACTGCATCATCTGTAAAACATGGTGGAGGCAGTGTGATGGCTTGGGCGTGCATGGCTGCCAGTGGCACTGGGTCTTTAGTGTTTCTTGATGATGTGACACAGGATGGAAGCAGCCGAATGAATCCTGAGGTGTTCAGAGACATCATGTCTGCTCAAATCCAGCTAAATGCAGCCAAATTGATTGGGTGGCGTTTCATAATACAGAAGGACAGTGACCACAACACACAGCAAAAGCAACCCAGGACTTTATTAAAGCAAAGAAGTGGAATATTCTCGAATGGCCAAGTCAGTCACCTGATCTCAACCCCATTGAGCATGCATTTCACTTGCTAAAGACTAAACTACAGGCAGAAAGCTGCTGCAGTAAAGGCCTGGCAGAGCATTAAAAAGGAGGAAACCCAGCGTCTGGTCATGTCCATGAGTTCAAGACTTCAGGCAGTCATTGCCTGCAAAGGATTTTCAACTAAGTATTAGAATTGAACATTTTATTTGCAGTTATATTAATTTGTCCACTTACTCATGAGCCCCTGATAGGAGGGAATTGTGTAGGAAAAATTACTTTAGTTCCCCACATTTTTTAATGCAATTTTTTTGTTCTACCCACTGAATTAAAGCTGAAAAGTCTGCACTTCAACTGCAGCTGACTTGTTTCTTTTAAAATTTATTTTGGTAATATACAGAACTTAGAAATGGAAAAACTTCCGGACATTTCCGTTTTGGGTTTAAGGCCCTGGGAAAGAAAACCCTTCAGTTCATAACTTTAATCAAAGTGCCAAATATCTGACCTCCTGCTATTTATCTGTCAGTAATGCAAAGTATTGTACTATGCAAAATCATGATTTTTTTTTTGCCTGTATTTCTGAGGTAATTCCATTACCAAAATGTCAAGTATTTTCCTTCAATAGTGGTGAAGTGTGCAACCCATTATGCAGTATAAATTGACATTTGGGATACAGAGAAATTATGATATTTCAAGCAAATTGAAACCTGAAAATCTGCCGTGTTTTCCTCTGATTTGTAATTGCATAACTGTGGATCTGTCCATGTCTTTGCAGGCCTCCAAACTACACAGACTAAAGAGGTACCACAGCCAGTCTTACGTTAACGGCTCAAAATGTGACCTGAATGGAAAACCCAGAGAAACGGAGGTGAGGGTAAGTGTGCCGCCACGTCTTTGTCATGTTTATGATGTAATGCAGACGGTGGGTCTGAAAAGTCCCTCTGCGTCCCTCCTCCCTCTTCTGCCACCAGTTCCTGTGTGAGGAGGGCTCCGGCGACTACGTCGCCCGCGTGGACGAGCCGCAGTCCTGTCGCTACGTCCTGACGGTTCACACCACGCGCACCTGTCACCACCCCTTCCTGCGCCCTCCGTCCTCTGCTAAACCCCAGGGCATCGTGTGCCAGCCGGCCCTCAGCCCCCAGCAGTACATGGACTATGTCAAAGCGCAAGTCTGTGAGTATGGGGGGGGGGCGTTCGACCTGTGAGCTGTTTCCCATCTACACCCCCCCTTTATTAGGAGGAAGGAACTGGGAATAGGAGATGTAGAGCATTGTGGCCTATATATTTAGCACCTTTTTCTGAGTTTAATTAGGTTCCACCATCCTCCATGTTTTAAGACCATAGACGTTAACACAGTGGGTGCATCTGAAATAGCATTCTTGTTTGCTATGTAGTAGGTGAAATGTAGTATGCCAGGTAGGGCTGCCGTGATTAGTTCCCATAGTCGATGACGTCGATGCTGAAAATGGGTCGACATTAATATTTTAAATCGATGCATCGTTTTAAAAAAAGATTTTAAAGACATTACCTTTGTGATTTCTAAAACGCTTCATTATAACAAATTAATCCTTTAATATCAGTATGTAATTATGGGAGTAGTTCAAATTATCACCAAAAAAAACGATGGTTTGTACACCGTGCAAAGTTCGATGACATGCCACAGCGGCACCAGCTCTATGCACGAGCACCTGAAGGGAAAACACACAGGCACTATTCTGCATGATGGACTGTCAGAGTAGGCAAAACCACCAATGATGTCTGTTCATGATTATTCAATTACCGTTAGTGAGGAGAGCTTTTTTGTCCTTGTAGCTTAACACTCATTAAAGCCATAAACTTGTCTACCTGCTACCTTTCATCGAATAAGTGTTTGAGAAAATGTTTAGGCTAGAATCTGGGCTTATTCTACGTTGATTGACGGCGCCAGTGTATCAGTTCGCATGTGCTGGGATTCTTGGGACTCAGGGTTGTCAACTTTGGTCAGCTAGTTGGCATGAAATTTAAAATTTGCGACAAGTCTGCACATTTGTATAAATATAACAGTTTCATTACCTTAATAGTCTGTATGGTTTGAAAACTATCCCAGAGCATTTGATGTGGCTATGTTTAGTTTTATAATGGAATAATATAGATTTGCTGTAAGATTTATTGCGTGAGAGTCTGAAAGCATGTCACGCCAGATGTGTGAGAGCTGGTAACCCTGGGGACCAGTATTGTTATTGTAAACGAAATCTGAAAATGAAAATGGACATTAAGTAAAAGAAAATATTTTGTGAAATTTAAATAATGAAAACTACATTTCCCAAAAAAAGTATCAGACTGCAAAAAGTACCACCTCTCACCATCGTCTTTTAATTTTTACTTTGTTTAACCACAATGTTTTCTCATTTAAAAGATGTGGCTCTTGAGCCATCCGTTTCTTCTCTGCGACTTCAGTATGATACTTTCACTTCCATGATATATCAAAACAGTTGCCTGTTTTAGATTAGTTGACCGATCTGTAAAATAGTCATCAGATGAATCCATAGAAAAATAGTCATTAGTGGCAGCCCTAATGCGAAGAGAGCAGTATGCCTGAATCCTCAGTGTATGAGGCGGTAGGTGAACGGTATCCGGATGACATACTACATTCTGTGAAATTCCGAAGTGTGCATCATGTGGACCCTGTGCTATCCTACAAGGCCACTGGAGTGATGAAGATCGTTGCTTGCTCAGAGTTTTGTCAAGATGGTGGTGGCAGTCCTGTTTCTGTACAAATTTAAGTAGAAAATAATACCCAGTCACATAAGTTTTTTTTTTTCCGTTGCCGTCAGGGTACATTCACATCCAGGTCAGGCAATATGCAAGATGGCGACTGCAGTATGTACTGTACAATTGCATGCTTATTGTTCTCCTGCGTACATGCAGTACACCGTACATTAACGGTCGGGCAGCAGGCTTCTAACAAACTTCAGTATGTACTATGTGAGTATGCAATTTTGGATGCACCCATTGTCTGTTCATATCTGTATTCAAATGAAGTCCACCTGCTGTGTTCAGGGGGAGGAACTTAACTGCAGAACACAAACAGGGCGAAGCCAGATGGCATAATGTTAGCAATGAGTTAATGTTGGTCAGATGGTGGTAGCTGAAACGACTTAACTGTATGAAGGGCTTGGTGGATCTCCACACCGTGTCTGAGATGTAGAAATGTCTGCGTTTCCCCTCTTTAGCTGATACCAAACGGAAGGTGGAACAGATATCTGAGGAGCTGAAGAGTTTGGACGAGATCCTGGCTGGTGATGAGGCCACTAATGATAAGGAGGATGGAGGAGGGGTAGAGAACGGAGCTTCAGACAGCACTGACGTGGGGCCTGATGGAGAGCCAGATGCCGAAGGTGGGGGCTGGCCTGTGGACATCATGTATTTATTCATTAAAATTTTATTCAAACTGAATTACCTGTAAATAACTTTGAAAGTGCCGTCAAAGCCTTTCTCAAGATAATGGCGATGGGGACGAACCCACCTGTATCGAGTCTGATTCAAAAGCAAGACCTTGAAGGATGGAGTCCGAGTCAAAACCAAGACTTTGGGAAGGTCAAGACCTAGTTGAGACAGAGACTGGAAAAAATTAAGTCCACTTTCGAGGCCATGGTTTTAATCATACTTATTTATTATCATCATCGCCACCCTTGGTAATATTTAAAAGCGAAGCTGTATTATTTAAGTGTGATAGTCCTTTGATCTCAAACATCAGTTTTTACGCAGTCACAGTTATCCAGCACTATTCCACTGCTGATCAAATTTTTCGTGTGAGCTACTTATTGGGATACGAGATGTGTAAAAAGCTGTATGTATCTAATACAAATAAGTCAAAATTAGGTCATTTTGGTTTTACTAGCTGTTTGAGAGGTAGAACAACATGGTGTCATGGTGCTTAAGCATGCACACACCCTGTTCTTACAGAGGTGAGGTGGATCGGTTACAGGGTCTGAAAATTTGGGGTAAGTCATGTCCCGTATTATCCCGCGTGTGACAAATTGCGTCATTTCAAAAAGGGACACGATCCCATGGGAACTCTATTCAGAAGAGAACAGTCTTTTTTCCCCCTTCAGTTTTATAAACTATATAATGTTTTATATCTGTCAGTATGAAAAACAAAGAAAGACAAATGATTTGTGCTATGTCTGAGTATGCCTGCTTTTCTACTATTGGAACTTGATACATGTAAAGCTGATAATGCAGTGATAAGGCAAATGAATCAAAGAACTCATATAAAAGACATAAAAACAGTAACTAACATAATACATGCATCACTGACAAGAGCTTCTGCGGAGAACTAACCACGTGAAACCTAAATAGTGATCATGCTCATTCTGATTCTAATGAAATCCAATGGACTGAGCAATTCAGAGCTTGCTGTACAGCAGTGTACTTGCATGTGAGGAAATCACTTTTGTGATTATTATAGCCAAATTGAATAACAACTGAAACTGATGTCTTGTCCATTCTAAAGGGATTTCCAAGGTAGCATTGCACTCTGGGACAGTCTTCTGAAAAATAAACAACTACACTTTACAGCCAATATGACAAATGTGAATAAAATTTATATTTTATTAAGCCTAATTGTATTTTTCCTTAATGGGTATTGTTCTTTTGAGAGGAGTGGGAGAAATGAGGAAGTTTATCGCTTTAAAATTGAGTCTGAACCTAGACACTCAAATCCACTGCCATGATTTAAAACCAGGTAGAAATGCTTTTAACTCTGACAAGATCGAGTAAGTGAAAATGTGGCCGCGAAACTAAGACAGGACTGGAGTACTATAACACTGCATAATATGCATAATGCTTGATTTGGTTGATGGCCTACCCTACATCTGATACTGTGTATTTACACAGAAGAACCAGGACCCCTAGAGGACTCGGTCGTTGAAGATTTGGAGGACAGTCAGTTCTGGGAAGGGGTGACGAAACCAGATGCCCCCACAGGGGCCAAACAGGTAGGCTGCACTCAGACAGCCTGTGTAAGGCTCTTCTGTCACACTGTACCAATGCGACTCTCCATCTGTAGGTGGACAGTGAGTCTTTGGAACCTCAACTTGCTGATGGTGACTTCAAGGAGGATGGTAAGAGAGCCCAGAATACTCATTCATCTAGAGCAGTGAATGGTGTCTCGTTATTCGGAAATGATGATGTCTCTTTATCCTGTAGTCTTTGGTGATGAGAAGTTCAACTTCAAAATTATCACCGATCCGTCTGACTTGATGAAATTTGTCAAGAAGCTCAAGGAAGGAGGTAAAAAGGTGAGGTGGTGCTTGGAGGTCCAGCCTTGCTGCTCTCGCACCTTGGAGCTGAACTTTATCTCTGGATCTGTCAATTGATGGCAACTGCAGGTGTCAACCTGGAGTCTGGAGACCCTAGATGTCTTTGATATGTTTCAGTTCGATGTATATCTTGGGATCCGGTCTTTCAATCTTGTGTGAAGTGTCTCGATCGGGTTTCAGGCTGCCTCTGAAGAAGAGCGACAGAAGGGAGAGTCTCAGAATGAGAAGGAAAGTGTGACTGGGGAGAAGGAAAGAGCAGGACAGCAAGGAGAGGAGGAGGAGGAGGAGAAGGATGTGCTGGGGGACAGTGAGGACGAGCATCTGCTGCAGGAGTTTGAGGAAGAGATTGCTGACCTTTCTGTGCCCTCTGATCGAATCGAGGAGATCAAAGAGGAGATGCAGAAGGAGTTTGACGACATCATCGATGAGGTAAGTTGTTGTGCTTTCCACAGACTGAATGGTCATCTTAATGATGGGATCAGGGATCCCTCTGGTTCTATTTTCCATCCATCACCACAACCACTTATTTCCAACTGGGTTCACGGTGTGGACCGGAGCCTATCCCAGGAACAACGGGCGCTGGCAGGAACCAACCCTGGGCAGTCGCCAACACACCGCAGGGGTGCACAGGCTCACACGATTACAGCAACTTGATTGGCAACTTAGTCGCCAATCAACCTATCGTGGACACTTTTGGACTGTGGGAGGAAACTAGAGCCCCTGGCAAAAAACACACGCAAACATGGGGAGAGCGAGCGAACTCCACACAGAAAGGTCCTACACCCGACCCGGGGACTGAACCCAGGACCTTCTTGCTGTGAGGCAGCAGCGCTAACCACTGTGCCACCGAGCTGCCCGTGGTTCCATTTTTCCTCAGTAAATATGGCAAGTGGCTTGAACTGGATTCAATAAACGGGTGCTGCCCAACTTCCGATATTATTTGGGGTTCCCCAGAACATAACCGCATCTGAAGTATGATTATTATATGATACGATGTACTTGGGCATTTAGCAGGCATAATGGGCTTGAGAAATTTTGGTTAAACATTTTATGATATATCGATAAACACTGTATGAGATAGTTATGCTTATGGTCACCACAGAAGCCGGAAGTGTGCCTGGCTGGATGCTGACATCGGCCAGCATCAGTAGAATGTATCATATGGCAAATCGCTGGCCTGGGAACAGATCAAAATTCTAAGTTTGATTACTGGACATGCACCATTGTAAAGTCAACAATGTCATAAGTTGAGCCATGGTAAAGCGAGGAACTTCTGTACATCTGAGGGCGGCATGGAAACAGAATAATGCATGAATCCCAAATAATTAAATCCAAATTCTGGTTTAAGGCTCAACAGGAGTTGGAAACCGAAGGTTTGAAGGGAGAGTTTGATCGCAGCCAGGCCACCCAGACGCTGGAGACCACCTTGGACAAGCTTTTGGACCGCCTGGAGGACAGGGAGGATGAAGAACACAGGCCTGATGGGGGGCAGAAGGTTCCGGATCCCAGCCGGGGCAGCCCTAGTTCCATTTCACGCCAGCCAGGTATTTCAGACCACCAAAGAGTGTTGCTGGTTCGGTTACTGCAGCTTAGTCCTGCATAGTGCTTTGGTCGTGACAGACTTGGAATCTACGCATCTATGCACGTTTCCTGTTTGGAGACCATAATACCTCATGCCTGTTTGTTTGTCAAGCTCAAGATTGATTTAAAATGTTCATTCCATTCACATGAGTCTCATTCCTCATTCAGTGTTTAGAGTTTCCTGATATAAATGTAACAGCAGCACTTATCTAGCAGCCTTGGTGGGGATTTGAAGGCTTTAAAGCTCAGCTCCGCTGTGGTAGGCGCTGTGGAGTTTGTTACGCATTCAGGCCTGGGTCTGGCCCCCAACTTCCACCGCCAACACCAACTGTTCTAGTGACGCTGTTGTTTTGTTTGTTGCACCAGACCGAGCACCAGTCCAGGAGAAGGTTAAAATCAGAGTTACTAAGTATAAACAAGGCAGCAGCCCTGACCGGCAGCTGAAGGTGCAGGAAATGAGCGAAGGGGACCCACAGTTGCAGCAGATTAAGGACGTGGTTAAAGAGCAGCTAGAGAGAGCTGGACTGAAAGCGGAAGGTAGGAGAGTGCCGGACTTCCGGTTCCTTAACCGCGGCCCGGCGCTCCTGCCCGCCCTTCAGCGCGGCAAACGCACGAGGCCGTGTTTCAGTTTACCACTTTACAGCTCCTGTGGGAGGTGTCGCTGTTCTGCTTGCTTGTGTTCTTGTCTCGCCATGGCTTTGTGCACCACTGTGCCCACAGTAAATACCTACTGTGATTTACACAAGGATCTTCTACCTTCAGCCACGTACTCAAACGTCTAACAACTGCTGTTTGCTCTGAGTCCATCCTCAAACCACCGTCTCTGTGTCGTCACCTGTCCTTTGTTTGTCTTCAGTCCGTGTTTGCATCCTTGTGTTGATAAGTTTATTGGTGCCAAATCTTTATGAGTTTTTATACTTAGATGAGTATTTCCTGGTTTGGTGACGGGCATGTTGTTTCAGGTAAAATCGAGGTGAAGATCCTGACTCGTAGAACGGCAGATGAGGTGGGAGACCAGTGGCTTAGCGAGGAGGACACAAAGTCTTTCCGGGAACTTCTCATCAACTTGCTGGTAAAGGATATAGGACCGGTTTAGCAGGTTTAGGGTGTGTACCCAGAAGGAAGTTGGCTCTCTTCTCAATATGGGTCCTTCTGTAATATAATTAAATTGTCTGTATTCTATTGAATGATATACAGCATGCCACAGTTAAACCTTCAAACGCAGTCACTCTTTTCAAGCAAATGTAAATAAATGTGTAAATGTGGAATTAAGAAAGTCTAGAAATGCTGAACAGAAAGAGAAAGTTTGTATCTGATCTTTGCGTTCTCATTTTCGGAGGAGTGTGCAGTTTGAACATTCATAGGGAGCTTGAAGCGCAACCCCATGGGACTCTGTGTTCTCTGTGCTCAGACGGGCGGGACAGAGGAGGTGTACAAGGAGCAGAAGCGACAGCAGGAATTGGAGAACAACTACAGGTTTGTGTGGGGAGAGAAACAAGAAGAGACTCAGCCGAGTGGAGCTGCGGACTCTGACGATGTCGACTTCTGAGATCCGGTCTAATCTCGGGATGAAAAGGCTGGAGAGGGCATGGCGCACAGAGGCGCAGTGCACAAACATGAAGCCATCCTGCAGTTTGTCTGACACAAGTTAATGAACGGAAACCTGTGACCAAAAGAAATATTTATATGGTTTAAAATATGTAATTGCTACACTTTGTTCTGCTGCCTACTGCAATTGAAATAAATAAGTGGTATTAGGGCCTTGTCTCCAGATGCTATTCCCACAGTGGACAAGGAATCTACGAGTTAAATATGCCCTAGACAGATTAAGGATGCTGGAGAAGTGACGCCTCTTAAAGGGCCCTCTGCTTTTTATTTTCAGCACTTGGATGGAGAATGGAGTGTGGGCTGTACCTTTTGTGACTTTAAGTTTAAAGGATATTGATTATTTTCCTTGTTTGCAAATTTAATGGGGGTCTGAGTCCTCTGTCTTGTTTATTGCATTGTTACAGTAACA